AGAAATCGATGACGAGCATGACCAGTTTTTCAAATCCGTGATTTTATTAATTTGTCCACTTACCTCAGAGTTGAAGCCAGTTCTTCTGCAGGTATAATCAGGCGCGCAACCACGGGGGAGGCTAAAGGGGCTGTAGCCCCCCTCAAGAAAAAAATTACATTCTGTTTTTAAATCCGCCAATAGTGGACACATCGCATACCAAATACTGGTTTGCGGAAGTTACATTTCACTACAACTACGAAATAAATAGCTGCCTTGCTTAATTCCTATTCCTAAAAAATGCACTAAAAAATAAATAAAACGTATTTCATATATTCCAAACTCTGCAAAGGAACCTTTCTGGGGCGCGCTTGATTTGTTTATTTGTGGTGGCGGGTGGGAGAAAACCGGTTTTCCCCTTCCAGTCTTTGGCTCATGTTCTTTGTTCACCTTAGCGTAAAGTAATTTGTTATGCGTTTTTATTAGTGACAGAGGTTACAAGTGCAAGTGTTTAGTAGCAACTGTTATGTTTCACTATGAAGCGGCTTTTGATGGAGTATTTTGGCAAAAATGAGAGTGTTACCAGCGACGCAAAGGTAGGTGTAGGTACATGTGATATATTTATATTCACTTGACACGAACTTATTAGCTCGTCTCACATTAACAGCGGTTAATAATTTTTTCAGATTGGGTAGCCTGATCGGAAGAAATTGGCTAGTCCCGCTTTTGATGAATCTGGTACCTCAGCCTCAAGCTACAGCCATGCACCGGACAATGTCAACATAGAATGCATCAGTGAAATGGACATTTCCTTGTACAAAAATAAGCGGCTATCAGGCACAGAGGAGTTACATGTTTTGGAAAACTTATGGGCTCCATCTTCCAACTACAAGTTTCCAGCGACGACTCATGGAAAGCATGGTTGCAAAAGTATAAGTGGTTGTCATACTCTGAGATAGGAAACCGGGCTTACTGCACTATTGTGTAGGTACTTTTTGCTCCAACTGAAGTGGGTATGAGATCATTCCAGAAAACAGGCTAGCTTGTTCAAGAAAGATTCCAAAATTGGAAGAAGGCTATTGAAAAATTTTAGTCACATTCTCATTTACAATACCACAAACATGCCATTATCGATAATGCCATGGTTGAGATCGATCTCAACAATTTGAAAACAGTAGTGGAAGGGAAGAAGAATCCTATATACTCTATAGACATATCTTTAGATGTAGGCAAAAGAAAATGCAGAGAGGTAGAAACCCGTAATAGAAACGGTAATTTTTTGTGGACGATTGGTTATTCTAAGGAATTTTTAAAAAGTTTTCCGTTGGTTGGCCCAGGGTACCCCGGTCAGCCCCCCTCCCATAATTATTTTCTGAGTGCGCAACTGGGTGTAATGAGTAACTTAACTCTGACAAGGAAGAAATACGAGACAGTCTACAATACCTTCTGAACTTTTTTTCTCCTTTGATGAGATGGCTATTGGTTGAATGTTTGAAAAACCCCTCGTTTTCTTGGTTTTTATAAAGGTTACTTATTCCTTTTCTGAATTTTGCTTGTTTCCAGAAAATGTGGTTCCCCTTTTTATCATTTTTTATTTGTAATTTTTTTCTTGTTTGGATTTCTTTCACTATGACACACCGGGAACCTGTCCGTTGACCGTCAGTACATCAACTGAACAAAAAACATGCTTTGCTTACGGAAACATTAAAATGCTGCGTGATAAGTTTCCCGCCCCAGCCGACGCGGTTGGGACGAACCCGGTTCCTGCGGCGCGAAAAACACGTCGCTAGGAAAACATACCTTTACTTGCGAGTTATGGATAATTACCTTATCATCATAAATATTTCTCTCTGATAGCTATAGATTGTCTACAATAATTATGTGTCTTGTATTGGTTTGGAAAAATTATTTGATTGTTATAATTGATCATTATGAAGAACTGTAAAACCTATTTTTGTTTATAGTCAAACTATTGAGTAGAAAATGTAGAGTAAAGATGGCTATTCTATGGATGACGGATCTTAGCAGTTGCGCATTATACGAATATTCACTAGTGTATATGTCTACTTACTCAAAAAATTCACAGACACTTTGTTAATGTGTCTGTGAACCAATAGAAGGCTACGATGCAACTGTGAAAAAAGTACTAGACTAAAAAAAGGCGAACGAAAAAAATATAAGATCTAATAAAGAAGTACTTGAAAAAGGAAACCGTGAACAATTTACAAACACTGTTGAAAACCTACTGTATTAACTACTGTATTAACGCATTTCCTGAAATTTAATTCCATTAGGATACTTATGATGCACTGTTTGGAACCTTTGGTGTAGTAATGAATATTACTGGAGTTTTTTCCCAACACCCAATCGTTATTTTTAACACCTCGACACGTGTTTCGATCACCAAGTGATCATCTTCAAAGAGGAAGATTAAAACTAAGAACTAGTGCGAGCTAATCCTATTTATGCTATGAAGGTAACCCATACAGGTAAACCATCCAGGCGTACCAACCATACAGGTATACCAACCTAAATTTTGTAGGAATCTCATTGCTTTTGTAACAGTCGTATATTGTTTTTTCAATGATTTCATTAGATGAACATCTAAAGGTATTGGTAATCCCGTATCACATCGAGTCTTGCGTTCATAAGGTTTGTTTTTGACTATTTTACGTACAGTTGACAAAAGAATTTCGGTCAAATCTGATGATGCTTTTAATTACTATTAGTAGGTACTTGTCCAAGGACGCCACATTTGAAACAGATAACAAAAATTTCAAGTAATTATAACTGCACCAATATCGAATTTCAACACTAAAATCGCGATCAGTTCCTGAACTGAACATTGACGACACGACTGCTATTACCATCCTCGCATTCTATTCGTCACCGTAACATGATTTCAAATTTAATTTTATGACTGTTCAGCCAATCATAAAACTCGGTTAGTAAGAATTATCTAATACGAACCACCAAATCTTCAGTCCACGTGGACTATTTGGCAGCGGCTTCATTTCTCTGTATTGCACGATGGTTCAATTTAGTGCTGCCCAACATCAATTCAATTGGTAATCCTCCAAGTACAGTAGCTGACTCCCCTGTTACGGTGCCTAGCTTCCAACTTGACGGTTCAATTTTTGTCGGTGTTTTGGTAAAGGTTGGCCCAAGAATGGTTCTCGTTGCACCTATATCTAGCAGCATAGGGCAAGGTTCATGAGGTGTTGATGAGGCCATCTACGAAAACACCTTTGTCTTGTCGTTGGAGAATGGCAACATATGCGATTTTTACGGGGGCTTGCTGGGTACAGGCCGACGATTGTCCCTTCTCATCGACCCCCTCTAGTTTTCCTGATTTCCTTTGAATGCTGGACATTTGCAACGCACATGCTCAATGTTCCTACAGTTCCAGTATCTTATTTGTTTTCTCTCAGGCAATACTTCTTTTATTATCTTTCTAATGGTGGCCTCCGGTGTAGCAGGATATGCCAGATGAACCAAACGAGCAATGTCGGCTTCAAATTTCTGTAGAGATTCTCCTGATTTCTGGCAGCGGTTCTTCAGCTGTGAACGGTAAACGTGCTCTAGGTGGGCCTGCCCATACCGTAGCTCAAGATGCTTTATAAGTGTTAATGCTACCGCCTTTTCTCCTGCATTCCATATATTCGCTCTGGCCGCAGCTTCGAATTGTCGACGGTAATTTCCCCAAAAAATTTTCCGTCGAATTGAGGCAGCTTCGCGGAGACCTTTCCTGGTTCAGAACTGCCTTTGACATCTGTCAGTTCCAGAATTGAGTTTCTAGTAACAATTTCTGTGGTGTGAGCAGAATTAACGATTCGGTTTTGCAACGTGCTAATTGTTTCCTTCATCTTGCTGATTTCTGCCCCAAATCCGCCTTTGATTTCATCGCCTATTTTTTTTCATTCTCTTCATTCCTGTCCAGATTTCATATTTGATTTCCCCTTTGATTTCCTTCACTTCAGTGCTCATTTATTTTCTGATTTTGTCTACCTCCGTCTCGAATTTATTTATTACAACACTTGGCAAGTAACGCTTAATGTCTTTCCACTATTTGAATTTCTTGTTTAGCCGCTCGATTCACTTTCTGAACTATCCTCTTGGGTCGGGAAGACGGGCTTATATCCGTAAAGGTCCTTTCTAAAATTCAAATTCCTTACAATATCAGAGAATGGAATTCCGAACCAATGAAATTCATGTAAGAAACTCTTTGTTCACAAACTTCATCGAAACTATTAGTCGAAACTTTTCTCAAAAGAGTGTTCTACTGATTTTTTGGGTTACCAACATGTTTCTTAAATTATAGCAGGACTGTACTCAAAAAAATAGTATAAAGGAATATGGATATCCAGAAAAAAACAGTCAAAATTCGATTGAAATAAAGTTGGGGTGAATATTCAGAGGTACAAAGGTCTAGAATATGAGGAAATAATCTAGAACACATTAAAAAATTTCATCATGAAAATAATGTCATATAATATTCCCCCAAAAACTGATATAGAAAAGTGTTTTTTCTTTTGTTCCAGAGAATAAACTGTTGAAAATGACTATACATTTTTGTTTAAACTTATCACTGATGATGTCGAGTATCCAGTGCTTATGAGTGATATTAGTTTTAATACTATTAGGCACTATAGGGATGACAAAATTGCTTTCCCTAAAAATCTTCACCACACAAATTATTTATATAACAGTCCATTGTCAAGACTTTCGAGACTGGCAAACAATGCTGATTTGAACTTTTTTGGTGTTTCTATAAATACATTCAAAAATTACTGTCATTCTATATACAAATGCATCATAGTTCGTAGGACTATGTACTTTTGTGTAGCTAGATATATATTCAAATGCATTTCTATATTTAATCACTATCTTTCACCGATTCGGAAAATCCTATGGTATCTTGGACACGGTGTATATTCTACGACTCAGTATTTTTTTGAATTTTCGGCATTCCTACGGTTTTGAAGAAACTGTTGTTTTCCCCACAAAAAAAACCATAAAAATGTTTTTTTGATCAATTTTATTTGAAAATCAGTATAGCTAAAATAAGGTATTCAACTAATTTTATAGCTGATTTATACATCAAACTTTTTCTTTCAATTAGTTGTTAGAGACAAAAAATGTTTAAAGAGAAAGTGGCCCATTCGCATCCCAAGGTAATAACTTGGAACATATTATTACAAAAAATGGATATGGCGAACACTCGTAGTGGAAAGAAAAAATTTAGAAAATATTATTTCGGTGTTATTTACACTTCACATTTCATAACAGAATACTATCGACAAAAATAGGGTTATGTTACGAATTATACTGACCACACTGTCGGTTTACGAATGCACATTCTTTTTTACTTTAAGAAATCTTTGAGGAAAAAGTACTCACAAAACTTACATTAAAGTAAAAAAAAAAGTGTGGATTATGAATGATTCTATTGATTTACATTGTGACAACTTTGTTAAAGTAAAATATGAAATGAAAGTTTGGTGTATGAATTAGCCATAAATCTAAAAGTTCCAGCCTCATAAATTCTTTGTTCATATAATGGATAAAAATTCACTCATTTATGAAAGTTCTGAAGTCGTTACTTTTTCATTTATTGTCAACACTTATATATAGTTCTTTTCGCATTTCATCATGGTAACCATTCACTTTCTGGGGGTATCGTGTGGTTTTCAATTCTGGCAGCTTCCTCATTTTTGTTATCAGCTACTTTGTTGTAGACTTCTTTAGCTTTGCCTGACAAGTACTCAACTCCATCCCCAACTTTATCTCCAGCCTTTCTTATGACTTCGGCCGCAGCGTGGGCCGAAATGGTTTCGTCGTTGATATTGATGTTGTAGCCCTGATTGAGGTCCTTGGGGCAGTCATTTTGTTTGATGATAGACAGGTCGAAGGGGTCGATTTGGGAAGATACTAGCCTATTCCTGATCTGAAATAAATAATAAATACATAAGTAATGAAAAATAAATCTGATATAAGTTATTTCTTTTCATGACTCCTTTGTTAGAATTGGCAGAAATACAGAACAAAAAGAAGTCACGGTAAACAATAATAATAATATGATACAAGGTGAGCCACTGAAACGAAACAAGACCTGTGTCTTGTGAAATAGCATTGGAAAAAATCAATTTTTATCTCTATTTTTTCGCGTCTATTACCAACTTTCTCACTTGTACCCCCTCGGCGGGGTGAAATTCAATTCTCAAATCTTGAATTGAATTAGGGGTAAAGGTCTTCGATTTCTCTCTTCAACGCTTCCTACTTTTTGAATTTGAGCAATAGTTTCCCAGAACAAAACATCATTAAAAAGTCTGGCAATAAATGAACTCGAAGAGTTTTTTCACTTCTAATACTAATTTTTCGGTGTGTTTTCACCTAATTTCAAGAATCACCTTACTGAACTGGCCTTACAATTTAGTATCTACTTTGAAGTTCGATGCTGGTAATAAAAAACGAATTACAGTTTTTACCAATTTTTCTACATTTAATATCTCAAAGATTTTGACCGTAACTATTTCGACTACTTATTTTGCTCAGATTGGTTTATTCAATTGGAGAAAGAGTACCTAAAATTAATTGAACTTTATTATGAAAATAACAGGTGCGCTAATACTACAGAACAGTTTGTTACGGGGAAAAACTACTTTTCCATTTGTAGCAGAATAGGTAATGCTGATACGTTCTGTTTCAATTAATTCAAATTTATAGAGAACTAATGGGTCATATATCTAAAGGGAGCTTTATCGGCCATTGTCGATTTACAAATCCCATTCGTTTGAACAGTTCATCACCCCTATTTCATAAGAATTGTTTTTTTAACAGGTGCTTTTAAAGTTAGGAGTTGGCGAGCGATTGAGGCCTCTCGTCCACTGAGAGCGGAAAGCTTCAATAAGATGCAGTGTTGCCAACTGGACGAACTATAAAGTCGCTACACATGAATCAAAATTTCGCTACGCTGCTTTATATTCCGCTACGCTTGTATATCTGACGAAATCAGTTCGCGCATGTGCCCTTTCCGAATTAAATACCACAGAACTTACAATTTGTGTACCGTTTAGATACCACAAAACTGAACTGTCACTAATGTCAGGAATCAGCTCTTGAACGATCATTCGCGACAGGTCTAACTCATCCTTTCAAGTTGGAATCAAACAACCGATGTTGAGAAAAAGTTTGTTTTCGAGACTTTTGTATTTTTTTGAACATGTCCCGTTCCCGTCAATTTCAACTGCGGCAGCTCTTTCGCTCGAGCTACAATCAGATGAACTATCTTCCATTTCCACCAAAATTTGTTCCACATAATTCATAATACTCGAGACTTTTAGTTCCAAGATATTGGAGATTATAAATATAGTTTATGATAGTAATGAAAATATCAAAATTATTCTTCTTATCTTTCATCATGTAATGGCCTCAGCTACTAAGACCATAAAGTATTGACTATGCATTCAATTATTCAATTGTCAGCTGTCAGCTTCGAGTGCTGTGTACTGCCACTTCTTCTTCTTCCATATTTTTTTCAATATTGATTATTTGTAGAAAATTCCGCTTCTTTATGTTCAAATCCGCTACACCGCTACCGTCGAGTAAATTCCGCCACGGTAGCGGAATTCCGCTACGGTTGGCAACTCTAATAAGATGCGAAATCAATTCGTCAGAATTCGCACGACAACGCACGAACGATCCATATACATGGATCGGTAGGGGACCATGTCCACTTGGACCGTATCGTTCATCAGTTTTCGTCCGACTTGATGCAAGTTGCGAACCGATCCCGTTTTGCTGGGATTTGATTGCAATCTAGTGCGAAAGTAGTTACAATAATGTATTGAAATGTGTCCTTTTTCATTCAAAAATAAGAAAAGGGTGGTCATCGTCGATTTGAAGATCATGCCACTAATGAGAAAATTCACCGAACTCCTTTCTTTTTTCGTAAATGAGATTCACCTACATTTATCGCCTTCGTCGATATCGCCTGCGCTTGATACGACGATGAATCAATTCTTCATCAGAGTAATTTAAAAAACCCGCTCCAAATAACCATCTCGCCGAATCCGGACGAATGGCAATGGAATATGAGCATCGCACGATTTAGTACGAACGGCGTTCGGACGAATTCATTTACTACCAATAATAACACCACTGCAAGGAAAAACATCATCTTTTGTGAAAAATTCAAGGCATTGTTTGTTGAACTACTAGGGACAATCGAAGTCAAAGAGCAGTATCAACTGATCAGTTACGACGTGGAAAGCCTCTACACCAAATAAACATATATATCTGTTTAAAAATATGTTTTTCCGTTAATCAGCTGTCGCCCCCATACGAACGACAACTCTCAAAAGTTGAGAAACTTGTGCAAGCTAAGGACTAACAAGGTGTTACCTTTCAACGTGTAATTTTTTCATATTAGACAATGGAAGTCCGAACTAATGAAATGCAATGCAAAAACATGTTTTATATTTCTTTTTGGATTTGGATTTCGATTGGTCACGCGAGAGTTCTTTTATATAAAGCCTACACAACATCACACGGCTTTTTATCTCTATCACAAAGAAAATGTTTAATTACCGATATAAATAATTTTGGCTGTTAAGACGGTTCTGAAGACCTGTGTATCCTGGGACTTATCCTGGAATTGATGGCATGAAGATAAGTTTTATGATTGCATCATCTCCAACATCAATAGTCAAGTCCAGTGCATTTTGATACTTTTATTGCTTCCATAAGCAATCGTCCAAGAGAAATCCAATTGGAAATTATTTTATTTGAAGGTAAAACCACGACTGAGATATATTTCTAATGTTTTGACTCATAAATAATTTCATTAAGGTCATGAAATAACTCCATCCCTATAAAATTCACCTTGTGATCAGCTTTCTTCTTTAGTAAATCTGTTAAAAAATCTTTTTTCTGTTAACCATCTGTCGCACCCCTAGGAACGACAATTCTCAAAAATCGATACTTGTGTGAGCTAAAGACTAACGAGGTCTTACCTTCAAACGGGTTGGACGATAGGAAGTGAAAATCTATCGCCCGGCCTTGCGGCTCGGATCGCCGGTTCACACAGCGGTCGAATGAGTGAGTGGAGTAAACCACCCACGTCAACCCAACCGGCTACCGCCCCAAATGGGATTGTTAATCGTCTCGGTATTGGTCCGATTGAAATCCACACTGACTCCGTGAAGTTCATCCTCAACACCCAGTTGTTGGTCTTTTTTTCTACCAGGAAATCTTACAGAAAAAATGTACTTGCAATTGTTACAAGGCACTGTCGGTCCTGCATTACCACACTTTCTGGAAAAATGGAGCACCTTTCCACTATACTCTTGATGTTCGTGACTATTTGAATGAAAAGGGCCGAAGAAGATTAGTGGAGTGCATCGCAATCTTTGAATCCGTTTTTGGTGAGGTTAGTCGAAAACGACAATCTTTAACACTCAACCAGCATCTGTAGAAGATTTTGCTTCAAAACGTCCCAGAGCGCTATGAACAAAACGTTTATCACTGTATAGAAGGAGGAGGTGAATATTTTGAAGACAAGTAAAATAGTGGGCACATTTTGAATTTCAATATTCCTTTTTTGTAAGGTCAAAAACTGAATAAAAGCTAACTTCCTTCATGTTAACTTGCTAAAAATTTCAATGTTGTTTTCGATATCCACTGCGTCAAGTTCCAAAAAGTCGAAAGCATTGGAAAGAAAAAACGATGACCTCCCAAATTAGATATCGTTTGATCCCTGATAAATTAGATATCGTTTGATCCCTGATCATAAATAAGATTCAAGGATCGGATTTTACCTCGCCGATGGGGCCAAAAGTTTTTCCATCGAAATAAAAATCGATGGGTCCAAATGATTTTCTTCCTAATGCCATTTATGAGAAATTGGCTTTGTTTAAACGGCATGTTCAGAAAAAACTACGAACGGGTCCACGAAATATCAAGCATCACATAATCGGTATCAAATGATCACCAATAAGCGTAATTCTAACGTATACTTCTCTGAAAGAATCAAGTGCATGTGTGTGTATATAAGCTTCAATTTGAGCTTTGAAACTTATTCAAAAATTATGAAGAGTAGTTCAAAGGTGGATACAAAGTTTTAGAAAAGTTGCCCTAACTTCCAGAAACGTGATTATGTATGATATGCTTTTATACAAATCGACCTCCAACAATTTAGATGTGAAAGCAGTATAATTGTGTGGCCTACTTAGGACTGCTTCAGTTTATTAGCATTCAATTATATACTCAGTTACGATCATCCCCATTTTTTTAGGTTTTTCAAATATGTAAAACTTGTATTCTAAGAAGAAGTTAACTCAATACATGTTGGTGATAAAAATTATCTAGCTCAGATATCTTATGATCCGAAATTTCAACATGAGCGCTCGAGTTGAAGATTGCAGAAGATTCGGTATAATTCGTTAGTTGTCAGTGAAGTTCATTGAATTGGTTCATTGAAACCAATCCCTTTACCTATTCATACTCTTACTCGTCCGTGCCCGTGGGTGGCTACGTTAGTAACCAGATGTGTCACTTCAGGCTCAAGCCCAGCGCCATAGACTCCAAAAATATAATCGGCCCATCATGAACTTCACACGTTTTATAACCATTGTAAAATACTTGTCTCGAAGGAAACCCAACTATTCTATCTCGGACATATATATTCGAAAATGTTTCCGCGGTGTTCAATGTGATTAGCTGAAGTCCTGGTTAAACCACGTCTGGTGTTTTCATTTTTTCGATGATTCAGATTTAACTTTGTAGCCATTTTTGAGAAACTATGACTACTCTGAGGTAACAATCTGCCTGTTTCTCAGGTAATGACACGCTGTAGGAGTTTTGGGGTCTGATGCCGGGGTCTCAATTTGCCTAATCCCCAGGTATCGTCGCTGGTCTCTGCGAAGGTCTCAATCTGCCTACTCAAAAGCTTCGACTATGAGACCTATTATTTTGTAGGTACGTGTGATAGATACCCGACGAAAAAACAACGGCTAATCCAGCTAATGCCGCGTAGAAAGCTGAAGTAAAACCATCAGTCACATGTACAATGTCTTCTATTTGGAAGATTCGTCGCAAGGAACTTCTCACATATGAAAAGCTGAAATTAATTTCATTTGTTCAGGATGACCACCCACAGACCGTTTTCGAGGTACCAGCTACTCGTCAGTGCCGGATGGGTCATTTCAGACTGAGAGAACCGTCTGAATATCCCGATCAAACGAAATTAATTTCAACTAGTTATAAGCTCTGACTGCAGTTGATTCAATAGGATATACCACTGCACCACCTGCAGATAAAAGTCCGGGATGGGAGTCAGAATAATGAACATATGTGGAGAGATGCATGTGACATGTCCAAGTTCTGGGGGAAATACCAAACACTTGCCTCTCATGTGGGACCTACTATTTAGTAGGTACGGTGGCAGATACCCGACGGAAAAACAACAGCTCACTCAGCTAAAGCCGCGCAGAGAGCTGAAGTAAAACTTTCTATATATAAAAAGTAGAAAAAGATTTCATTTGGTCGGGATGACCACCGACAGATCGGTTTAGGAGTACTAGCACCGGGTGGATCATTTGAGAGGAAGTGAACCATCTCAGTATCCCGATTAATTTCCAGTAGTCATAAGCTCTGCTTGCATCAAATGTATTACAATTCAATTCATGTCCATAAACCGATGAAAAAACTCTTGTGGTAAATTTAAAACTTAACTCACCTTGTCAATGTACATCTTATCTAGAGATCTAGTTCTGGATAGGATGGTGGCAGACTGTCTATTGGAAAATGTTATTTTCTGACAAGTGAAGATACCAGCATATGTATCATAATCAGTAGTGAACACCGTGAAGGAGGATGAACCAGCAACACCTGAAATACGAAACACACAAGTGTTTTTACGGATGTCTCTATGTCACAGAGAATTTATGTCACTGAGTCAATAAAATAAAATCTTTTCCGAAAGATTCTTTCGATATCTTTCGATAGATAATTTGACTTTACATGTCTTGGACTGTACTTAAAAAATTTCATTGAATGGATACGACACCAGATCCAGGCGTAAATAGTGTTAGATCTCTTGAAAAAAAAATACTGCCAAAGGAAGGGTTTTGAAATGGTATTCATTATACCACGCGAATAATTTCAATGTTACATGAGTTATTCTAACCAAAATGAAATAACATAATAAAGATTAGTTCATACGATGAAAAATTCATTTCAAATGTTTCTTTTATATACTGGAAAAGTAAAACTTATTTCATCTATCTTTGTTTTTTTAATTAAATCAAGGAAAAATTTAGTCCCACTCATAGAATTGGGGTGATGCACATACAAATCGATCGAAAACATAAGGAATTACTTACTCAAAGGAAATTTGACTTTCATTTTCGCAGGAACGGAACTGTCGGGAACTGTCAAGGTTCCTCTGTAGTGGTAACCATGCCTGAGAGGAGTCAATGACAATAAAAAGTGCTGACTGATTTCCTCAATTGAGTATTCTTCAGGCTCGTCCGTTTTTGTAATATTATAAACGATGCAACTGCTAGCTGTACTAGTTTTCTCGATAACATACCAAATACCCAGCATCTAAAAAACAATTTAGTTTTACGAAAAGAGAGCTGGATATGAAACATTTTGATAATTATGAAGCCTCAGTCTTTCATTATGAAAAATCACATTCGTTAGAAGTGGAATGAAAACATATAATCTTTCTTAAATATAATTTCTATTTTTTTGGATTCTAGACTGAATATTCCAATTTACTTTTTTACGTTATATAATTTGTGCAACTGAACATTTGTACAGTGTCAGTAATAGCTGACTGGCATGTGATAAAAACTTTAAATTCAATATTTAATAAATTCAGACTAGTACCCCTCAAAAACCGCCATAAGCTGTTGATCTGAAACGTTCTACGACCCGATATTTTCGATATTTGTATAACTGCTCTCTTTACAGGTCACTGGTTGAATCCTAATACTCGTATGCAGAGACTTGGGCTGATTCTGTCCGCAGTGGGGCAGGCACAAAAAATGTGTTCTGCTGTTTCCAAATGATTTTTCATTTGATTTTCCAAATAGAAACGACACACACTGTCTTGCGACAGTCCAAGTCTCTGCGTATAATGATTCAGACGACAGCGACCTGTCAGTAGGACAACATAGTACATTCCTGCTGCAGTTTACCAATTGTTTAATATCGGATGGACCTATCCTGATAGATTTTGACGGAATTGAAAAATCTTCTTGCAGTCCAGGTGTTAGGTGTTTGTTTGTCAAAACCTTAAGCGAAGCGATGCCAATGACGGGTCAAACCGCTTACAACATCCCTCCTTTGTAAGGGTGTGAGCAGCTTCGTTACCTTCCAATCCAATGTAGTCAGGTATCCAGAGTCATTTTTGGCAGTGTGATACCAATTTAGATGGAATCGTGATCACAAATTGGATCACAAGTCCATCCAGCTGCCTTTCACTGAAAGCGATGTCGAAGCTTGGCTTTGCAACTGATCGCCTTGGGGATCCTCATTTATCGATGATTAGAGGATTGAGTCTTCTGATGATCCCATAAATGACGTTTTCATGAGGGGAGATACCATCGCCTTTACCAATTTGAATGTTACTCGGTAGGAGCCAAAAGCTTTTAAGGGCCACTTTGGATTCTACCATCTAAAATTGCCGCTTGAAATACGGTCGCATAGGTCCCTAAGCAGATTAATGTCTCTGTCTTAGATCTACGACTATATAAACATGCACTAGAACCTGGTGTTTTTGATACATCTGTGAATCCACAGCTTTCTGATTTCAATATTTCTTCCTTCCTAAAGATTCAATCCTCTCTCTCTTCGGGAGCAGGACTGTATATGGTAGTTGATAGAGCCATAATGATGTTGCAGATCATTTCCAGAATGCTATAACTTTCAGTGTCAGCTAAGAGTCTACTACGCTCCACATGAACCTTTGTACCTTTGTGCAATTGGCAATATGCACAAGTCTATATGAAGTCCATCTAGCCTCTCTCTCTTCAGGAAGACTTAGGGAGGAGGTACGTCTAGAAGGATGTTTATGGCGCTGACGATGAAGTACTGACTAAACTAGATAGTTTAGCCTGTGCCGTTTGATGTAAAGCATTCGGTCATCAGAAAAATTGCTCGAAATGTGATCATTGCTATGATAATAATCATCACATATATCCAATGGATTTGTTTGGGGGCCTAAGCCCCGAGATTTATCACAAATCCTTCGAAACGTCCTTAGGGACGTTGCTTATGGAATAACACCACCATTAAGGGAGAGTGAAGTTGAATAATCTCGATTTCTCTTGTAAAGAAGATAATCACAGTTTTGCTGGGCATCTGCTGTCTCTGGTCTAACTGTGAGCAACGTCCAACGTACTTTGAACGATAATACAGGCTAGCCATCTCGAAGAGGTTCTAGCCAGGATGGCACAGACATCTGCATAGGCTTGCAAATCTACTTCTATTCTGTCAAAGACGGCGTAAAGTATACACCAGGAGTGACCACAGAAGGGAAAGGGGGTAGTATCCCATTAGGGTAGGGCCACCTAGTGGCCCTAACCTAATGGCCTCATCTTGAAGAGTCCTAGTTGCTATTCTCTTAACAAGCGTGGCGTCTACAATTAGCCTCTATAAGAAAGATAATCAGTCAACTCATTGACCGAGTTGAATTCGGTATGTGAAATTTTTTCTTTGGTAATTTTACCAATCTTT